ATACATTTAGAAGTGCATTAGAATGAAAATCTATATATCCTTATCACGAGAATACATTTACATAATATATGATTCTTTGGAATCAAGTATCATCACTAAGAAATAGACTTACAAATGATCTAACTGCACGCATTGTGATACATTACTACCATTTAATACTTCAATTTTGTGCCCTTCAATTTTTATCGAAATCCTTTGCTTTTCTTCTGTTCAATTAAACTTTCAGTGATTTTTTAAAAACTGTGAAAAATAATTTTTTTTTTTGTATTTCAATTATTTTTTTCTGAAAGTTTTCAATTTTGACTGTATTTGTGGAACTACAGTTTGTCTACACGTTTTTGTTTTGTTTATAAAAAACTTAAAATTTATTTTTTATCGTAGGGCAGTTCTTCGTGCTTTATATGTATACCTATACCCTTATTCGTGTGAACTCTTTGTCTTTCGGTTGGTTCGTAGATGAATTTATAATCCGTTAAATCGATACATCGTTTGACACGTGCACCTGATAAATTTTATCGGTTGAATCACAAGACTCGAAAACACTCGTCACACTTGATATTGAGTTTTCATTCATGATATATCGGATACGTATTGGAAATCAGTAAACAAACTCAAATATTTGCATTTTTGGTTAAAACGTGAGAAAAAAACGTCTGTCTGCGATTAATGTTTTTACAATATAAACATCTGATGGTAAAAATATGTGTTTACGCCTGTAACGTCAAAATTAAACAAAGAAAAGTGAGATGCGACAATCATATCGTTGCAATGACGCAGGAATATTTTCTGCTGCAATTTTTCCAAAACGAGTCAAGTGATATTAAAGGGAACAGCTAAATAAAACAAATAAGTAGTAAACATATAAAATCATGTAGGGTAAACGCACGAATGAATGAATACTTAAGAGACTTTTTAACTATTAAAGTCGAATTATAAATGATAATAATATTAATAAATATTCGGCACATAAATATTCGATCAGTTAATATCTACATCTTTTTTATAACGTATAGATTTTAATTTGAAAATTCTAACAAATGGCGCGAAAATTGTTTGAATACGATACAAGGAATTGAAAATAATCAATATTTAATCATTTGGTTATTTTAATAACTTAATTATGTTTTTATATACGATGTTCATTTAGCGGTATGTGTTTCTTTACTGGTGCATCCACCCTAATATTGAATAAATTAACAAAAAACAAACAGGAAATACATTTTATTTCACTGCTTTACCTAAATATATTACCAAGAAATATATGCTAATAAAATTTTTTAGTAATTTCATTCATTTATAGATATAATTATTTTTTTCGTAGCATCGATAATATTATTACTTCTTTTTTGCTTTTTACCATTTCCTACGTTTTCCATTCTTTTCAATGGTTTTTCGTTCTCAACGGGTAATTGAATCACTGAATTTTTGTTTTTAGCAAACATGTCACGAACGATAATGAATATCGATCGGTTTCCAATCGTACTCGGTTGGATTCACCCGAAACGTCTGGTTGTATTCGCGCCACGCACGTGATAATGACTTTCCGTGACTCCTCTTATCGCGTATATCGTTTAATGCCACCTACTCGCTTACGTACATATGCACGTTCACCGACGTCGATCGGTCGCCCTTCGTCGACCGACTACGTAGTTCTCAATTACATCATAATTTACTAGCACTGAATTACGTAATACAATTGAATCCTTGTGTTGTTAAGTCATCTTCCCATTGAAACGACACACGTACATAATCCCCCGGGGGAAATAACACCAACGATCACACGCCGAGTCCCAGTAACTCGCGGAAAATTAATTATTCTAGATCATTGTAACCCTTCACGGTCCAATCCGGTCACGTCCGGTCACGTGGGAATTCATTATTTATTTAAACTTCACGAATGCCTATATTTTTACATAGATTCTCCGATTTTGCATAGAGTACCCGTGGTATGACCTTTTGAATATTGCTGCGTTGTGATACGCGCGCCGTTCGAGAGTCAGGGCGTGTTTCCAGTTTCAGTAAATCCTTTTCGGCTTCCACTAGGGGAAAAAGTGGCGTAAGAGAATGGTCTCCTACCACTTGGTAAATTGATTTCAAGTACTAAAATAAGTGTTAAATCGAATGTTAATTTGACATATATTTCAATAATTCTCGATACCAAATAGCAAGAGGTCCTTCCCTACGCCATTTTTTCCCCTAGTGGAAGCCGAGTTTGCTCCTAAGTGTACACCCACAAGCAACCTCGGCTTCCACTAGGGAAAAAAGCGGTGTAGAATAAACGTTTCTTATTACTTGGTAAATTTAATTAAAATACCGAAATAAATGTTAAATTGAATGTTAATTTGATATAAATTTCAATAATTCCCGAGACCAAGTGATAGAAGACCCGTCTCCTTACACTGATTTTTCCCCTAGTGGAAACCGAGTTTGCTCCTAAGTGTACATACATACTAATAATGGCGATAGATTTGAATTGTATTGATGCGTATTGACATCCAGAGTATCAATACACAAATGTATATCGGGAATCAAATATCGATACTATCGGTAATCGATACTTGTAATTAAATTAGAAGTAATAAAATCAAAGAATGAAAATAAATCATTTGTTTATTCAGATATTTCCTAAGACAGATACTCAGGTAATAGTAGGAAAATCGCAAATGATCAGTTTTTCTTACAACCTGCTACGTTGTGTCAAACGCAGCGACTGTGTCGAAATTTCGAAATTTGTGGGTTTAGTATCGATACTGGAATATATCGTCACATTACCTCCTAAATAGCTGTGTTGCTATTAGGGAGGCATATTCGAAATATCGATACTGTATCGCCAATCACTAACACGTGCCTGGCTATATACTAATAGTAATAACGTAATAAAGAAAACATGAACCGGAAAACATATCTGACTTGCTTTCATTTTGCAATAATTAAGTCTTAAAGTTAGAATGAGCTTTCAGAACGGGGTTTAGCTTAAGGCGCGTCCTCGCTGGTACGATTTTTCCTACGCTACAAAGCCGTACATTTCCGGTATATTGAAACGTTTAAAAATATGTCAGTACTGACGCAAAGCCGTATATCCGTTCCACGCGCAGCTAGTGATGGGCATAATCGACTAGGTCGATAGTAACCAACGACTACTTTCAGTCGACTAATTTAGTCGCTTGAAGCGACTGACTCGAACTATCGAGCTATCGATCGCTATTGACTGAATCTTCATTATTTTCTTCGCGATGCAAACCAATTGTAATTTTTCCATATATTCTTTTATGCATTACCTTGTAAACTAATTGTTTAAACTTCTCCGAAAAAGTCAGATCGTTAATTTTAAAAACTTCATTTAATTGTGTAGAGTGCACGAATACTTTCGTGCCTCTTTTATATTAATAAGATATTTTTAAGATTAGTAAGAAAGAAGACGAACCAACTAGAACGTATTATCTCAGAATTCGACTGTCACTTGATGACATAATCTATACATAACCTATAAAGCAAAATTTTAGTCGACTAAATAGTCATTACTCGATAGTTTAATTTAGTCGATGGTGCCCATCACTACGCGCAGCAAAAGCCACGGCAATGTGATCACAATACACATTTGAATCGGTCATTGGCTTCTACGTGTCACTGTTCCCCAACAAGTGACGAACTCGAAACGGTTACAAATAATCTGTAAATATAGCGAGCAAATAAGGTTATGATTGGGCTAGGACGGAATAGGGTCTTGTCCGTGAACCACGTGTTATTCTAGGCGGGAATCTGTTAGTAGATCACTTGGAACAGCTGATTATGACGCATTCCTTGGACTCGTGCTGTGACAGTGTAAGTGAGCGATGCTGAAACGTACGAACATTTCGATTTTGTCTAGTTTTATAGCAACTAAATTGTAGGGGATACAAAAAACAATGTATTAAGACTTTTTTTTCTTACGTTTCTGCTCACTGATAAACCTGTGAAATTACAATACAAAACCTTACTATTGTTAGTATAGTGTAAACAAGTGAAAACGTTTTATAAATTTCAAGGCTTTATTATTAGAAAATAATAACAGATCAGATATAGTATTAATTTAAAAAAAATATGCAATATGGTATTCTGTGAATGAAAGTTGAATGTCAGTGTCGTTTTTTTAATTTAGAATGTTTTTAAACGTGTCAAATATTTTACTGAAAGCTTATACAGAGGTTTCATAAACGTCGACACAGTCAATAAATAAGTAATCTACGTAATTGTAAAAAAAAACAATCTTTTTCTCTGAAAGTCTGGACAACTTTACAAGAATCGCTTCAAGTTGTAATCAAAATTCTTTTGCTTTCCATTGCACGATGCATACAATGGTCGCGTTTTTAAAAGGCTGTTTCTTATCACAGCTATTCCGAATACTGATTACGATTTTATATTAATGTTGGTTATCTAAAGGATGTTTCACAATGTCTGGCATTCAGAGTGCAGAACAATACACGAAGTGCATGTTAACCTTCGATCGCCCGATATCTGATCATTTTTGACACATTTTTACAGTTCCAGTGTATTAATAATAAATAACGGGTATAGAGACGTGGAAGAAAACTTGTCTAGAAAATGTATCCTTTACGTAAAAGTAATATTTTATGTACACTGTGTATATAAATAAAATAGCTAACCAAACACATATTTTCAAACACGTTCCACTTATTTCTGTATTAGAAACAGAAAATTATGCGTATTGTTCAGAAAATTAGGTCTTACATATACTTTAAATGTTGATATAATAAAAAGAACGCAAACTGCATTATACACTCAGGTAGGAGAATTTTCATGAATATTGGTTTTGAGTAGTTTAAGATGCGTCCCCATTCCCGCGATGATGTAAACGCACCTTTAGCATACATACAGACAATATATGTTCCGCGAACCATTTGATAAATTTATGCGATACCAAAACAGGTCAAGGTACTCATGCAAGGAATGAACTAAAAAAATAAAACAATGCTTACGAATCATATTGTCTTCTGTTACAGACTGTAAGCGCATCACAACCTAAAGCAGTAAGAATGACAGGTTCTCCAGTGCTGGAGAACGAAGACAAGGTTGAGGTTCTCGATGAACCCCTTTTCAGCACCCTCGATATTATTCTTCTAAGCGCACTTCTATTAGCGGCATTATGGTGGTTAATGCGACGGAACAAACAGGAGGAGTACACGGCTGTGACGAAATCTTATTCCATACAGTAAGTTTCGTACTAGTCATGGCGATACATTTGAATTGTATTAATATGTATCGATACCCAGAGTATCGATGCACACATGTATATCGAGAATAAAATATCCGATATTATCGGTATCGATACTTGCAATTAAATTAGAAGTAATAACATCGAAAAATGAAAATGAATCATTTTTTTAAGTGGATATTTATTAAGGTAAATTCTCAGGTAATAGCGTGGAAAAGAAATCGACCAATCGCAAACTTTGTGGGAAGCTCACGATTGGTCCGTTTTCCTTACGACCTGTTAATTTACGGCAAACACTGCGATTGTATCGAAATTTCGATGTTTATGGGTTAAGTATCGATATTGAAATATATCGTCGCATTAAATATCGATAGAAAATGTTGATATTCGAAATATTGATACTGTATCGCCCATTATTATTTCGTACTTGACACGGAACAATCACAGTTTTCTAACACGTTCAGACTGGTTGAGGTCAAAACAATATACAGGATGTCCTGTGATAAAATGGACACGCCCATGTAGCATATTTGACAGATCACATTCTGAGCTAAAAAGGTTAAAGAGACAGCTCAGCTCTCTGTCCGAATTTATGAAAAAGTTATAGCAGAAGTAAAATACTCCAGGCATTTTTTTGTAGCACGCAATTGTCCTTTTCTTTATTTACTAATATACTGGTACACTTCTCTTGGCTACTTGATGGATCCTTGCTCTGTAAAGTGTATTCCAGACGCGTTACAATTGGCGCCGCAAGGCCACGCTTCCTCGTTGCGCAGCAAAGCCGTGGCAATGGAAACGCAATTGAGTCTATTAAGTTAGAACGCTCCAACTCTCAGATACCATACTAGTACGAATTTAGTACCAGCGAAACATAGTTTTATCTGCAACATTCTATCTGGGTAGCATAACGGTTTCAAATTTTCATGGTTAAAAAATTATTTCTCTCTTTTGCAATTACTATTACCATTGCATTTCTGAGGAAATTTTATCCTAAATACTATTTTATGAGTTCAATTTGCTTTTAACAAGGAGAGATCCCCAGGTGTAATGTTGATTATTTAATGAGGTTTAGCACAGTTATAGAGCTTGGAATTCTGAAACCAATGATATTAATTCCAGCCGCATATGTCCATTAGTTTACGAAATATTTCATGTTCAGTGCTGAGGAGCCGTCGAACACTCATTGAGGATTTACTGTAGTGTGGTGTTCACGTATGCTGAGGTGAGATCCACTTCCTCCACCCTATATCGTTGTTGTTGTGGGGATCATAACCCCAATTCTGTGTCTCATAGATTTTTTTTCGTTTTCGCATAGCTTTAGTCCCCCTTAGCTCATTATAAGTGGTCAAGTCGTATATATTTAAGAGACTCCATCCTCCTGTGGATATGATGGTAGATTTGATGATTCTTCTGTGGATCTAATGGTAGATTTAATGACCCTCCTCTGGATCTGATGATAGATTTAATGATCGTCTGATCCTCTGATCCTGATGGCCCTGTGCTATTTGACTTTGGAAGGATTTATAACAGGATTATAAGCGAACCTGGTAATGGCAGATAACCACCCTGGATCATTGACCAATGTAGTCTTGTTTATTTGAAACATATGAATAAAACTTAGATATAGCGAGCAGCCTAATGTATTTCTCGTTTTTTACAACTTTTTAATGAATTGAAATAGACCCATAATGCATAGTCACTAATCAAGATATAGCACGTTCGTTAAATTAACACCCTAAGTACATAGTACTATTTGAGGTGAGACATAACCATGTCAAACACTTCTCCTTAGAGTAGTGTTCAGACCTGTGAACAGCATTCTAGTTTAGCGTTCCACGCAATGAACAGAGAAAACTTTATTTTCCAATGGGACTAACTGGGACTACATTACAGTAAAGATGTTTCCTGTAACCTTCACTATGTATATGACTTGTTAAATATGCCAAAGAAGTATGTCTTTTTCACGACTGAACATCCTGTATAATGTACTGTCCCAAGGGAACTGCACAGTACAATACATTTTATAGAAGAGATATACTGTGTTAAGGTACTAATGGTACATAGCTAGAATCATACAAATATTCCCAATTTTGAATGACAGCCAGATTTGTTATTTACTCTTGTCGCGTCACTTTGAGTGATGTGGTATATATGTATACACAGTGTGCATTAACTACACTGCAGATAATAAATCTGGAGCACCTTATGGTCTTTGTATAAATTAAAATATTTTTCTTCCATTAAAGCTATTTTATATTAGGGGGAATTTCCTTGGGTTGATACAGAAGAAATTGTTTTTAACTTGTCAAACGTTTTTGATAGTACTATCTATATGTGGAATTTAAACTAAGTTGGTGACCAGATTATAGTATCACAGGGGGCTATTTTTCATAAAAAAAATTTGTTTGTTAAAGGCCAACGTTGTTCCCCACAGTAACGCCGTCAGAAAATTCATTCATTAAAAAACTAAAGACTTCTGGAAGGAGTCTGGTAGTATTCTATGGCAGTCAGACCGGAACTGCAGAAGAATTCGCGGGTCGATTGGCTAAAGAGGGCATCCGTTATAAACTGAAAGGCATGGTAGCCGATCCTGAAGAATGTGATATGGTAAAAATCTAAAAAAAAATCAATTTCATTTATTTTTGTTTAATCTTTATTTAATCGAAAATACAATTTATTTTTATTTTAAAATTCAAACTGATTAGGTGAAATACTCGTATGCGTGTACAGTTTGGTCACACTAGACCATCAATTATTCCTACTTACATATGTACATAAACAAATGATACTAAAGTATTTCTAATACATATTTATAAATGAATCGAAAAATTAAATATCTGGGTCATTATATTAAATGATTAAAGTGTACGAATAAGACAAAGAAAGAGTTTCTTCAATATTTCAAATTATTGATTTACGAATTGTAATTTATCGAAACAGGAAGAGCTGTTAAATCTAAAATCAATACCAAATAGTTTGGCAGTATTCTGTTTAGCAACGTATGGAGAAGGTGATCCTACAGATAATGCTATGGAGTTTGTCGATTGGCTAAAAAATGGCGATGCTGACCTCAATGGATTGAATTATGCTGTATGTATTATTTCTGTTTTCTACTTTATGCATGTTAAAAAATCAAAAAATGTCTAGTATATCGCGGAAATTAAGAAACTTGTTGTGTTCATGCTTCTTACATAAGCATTTCATAAATTAAATTGTATGTTTCATAAATAACCACAAATAACACCTTATATACACATAATGTGGAGGTTGAACTCAAAATTTGCTTTACACATGTTACTTTAGGTATTATTAAAGTGCATCTACTTATCAAATTATGCTAATAAAAGAATGAGAAAACACATAGACATATTATCAGATGAAGTCATAGTACAATTTCTATATATTACTTATCATGGATTTCAACTTGTGTAATCAGTTATATCTATTACTTGTTGTTACAGAATTTTTTTTATTTCATTAAAAATTTAATTATCTTAATATATTATTGCTTGCCATTATATTTAGTCCTTGGATCTTGCTAAACATTTCTTGTGTCACTAGTCTTATCATACATGTATATTTCAAACCCACATATTAGATAATTTTTTGTATCACTGGCCTTATCATATACATTTTAAACCCATGGTTTAGATAAATTAGAGTGCTGAATCGTCGATGACAAAGAATTCAGAATTTCTCTTGGTCAAAATATTGACAATACTATACTTTTTTATCAAAATAATACTTATTAATTTTGAACTAATAATTATAGTACAGTGTATTCTTTATTCTCTTTTTATACAATTTCTTCTGATCTAATATTTAAAAAAAGGCATTCTTAAACATATTCATTTGAATTTTAGTTCTAATAAGAAATAGTCGTACTGCATTTTGAAAGAAATTGCTTTTAATTTTGAAAATCAAATTCTCAGAATTTGCATTTATAGGGAATTCTCCTCAATAGTACATTATCTCATTTTATAAAGAAAATTTTGAAAGTTTATCGTATTCTTGTAACTAAATTTGAGATCGAGAACCAACCTTTTATTTTTTAATGTACACAGTTTTTTCGGGCCCGTATCTTAAAAGCCCGTATATTTAAAGATTTAAAAAACTATTGCATTCAACGATTATTTATTATTACACTCTGAAAATTATACGTTTTAGATATTATTTACATCTAAAATAGTTGCTACAATTATAATTCCAAGCAAATGATGTTTTTAAATTGTGGTATTTTAGAGGAAACGTTGACTTACTCTTTGGGACAGTTGTGTATGATGAATTTAAACAGTGTTAAACCGTTCATTTTTGGAAATATTTAAATCTTTATACGACGAGAATATTTCCATCGCGTAGCATTTCAGTCATACGGATGTAACGTTACGTAAGCAATTCATGTATCGATCCACACGCACGTGTATAGTTGTATCGTGAGCAGTAACGTTTATCAAATGTAACCCCTTCCAAAAGTAACTACATAATTTTCGTGCTAACTGCCACAACAACAGTTATTTAACTACACTAAATAAAGTTCACATTGAGGAATATTTTAAGTATGAACTTTAAAAAATGCGATAAACTTTTACGAGTGATAATCAAACATTATAGGTACGATAGCGCTACCCGACGGCAGTTTGCGACATTAGTTTTGCCGCCAACATTTGAGGTACTTGTCGAGTGCTTTTTCGTGTGACTAATGTTGCAGTCATTTTAATCATTTTTCTTACTTAACTGCTGGATCATCTTTTATTAAAATTATCTTCTTTATGCTTCTTTATGGATTTAACCAAATACTGTTTATATTTACTCTTGTAAAATTATTTAGACATGTTTTTCTTTTATTGTTACTGTAATATTTTATTATAATTTTCTTATTTGCAGTTCTTTATATTTTTCGTATAGGTATCGATTAAATTTTGTTCACATAAACTTAGCTTTTTACAGTAACACTTAAATATTTAACATTCAGTTAGCATCCTAGACAATGTTGAAAAAGTGTTCAAGATTTAAGGATAAATAGTTTGAACCAAATAAAAGATACATAAAAAGCATAGATTTTTATGACGCAAGTAATTTGCATGGTTTCATTGTTCTATTGATTTGAATCTGCTAGATTTTTTTCTGTCAAAATTCTATACACATAACATATTGTGCGTCAATAATTGATGTACATAAATTATTATTGTTGTGTTTGTAAAATTCTTCATTTTTTATGTAATGTTTGAAATGTTGGCTTCTTTGATTATGCTGAAAAATTAGTTACATGAGATTGTAATAGTCACTTGCTATTCTTTATTTTCAACCGTTTTGTTCTACTTTGCAGGTGTTTGGACTCGGGAATAAAACATATGAACATTATAATGAAGTGGCATTATACGTTGATCATAGATTGGAACAACTCGGTGCTACACGTGTTATTGAACTTGGTTTGGGAGACGATGATGCCAAGTAAGTTACTATCATTGTCAGATAGATACAAGATTCACAAGGAATATACAAATTTTTTGTGTGTAATGTCTCACATGATTTCTGAGCTACATTTAAGGTGGTTTGTGTCAAATTCGAAAGACTAGATAATTAAATAAAATTCATACAGATTGTTTATTAGAACGAAATACACACAAAAAAAATTTGAGACTCTGTTGCCGACCAAATAAATAAGAAAAAGCCTGTGAATAATTGAGTCTTCAACACAGCTCTTATGGCAGTCTTGCAATTTCATACCAGAAGTATAATCTTTTCTATTCACAAAAATTAGAAGTGCTAACTAAAAACTAGGTACTGAAAGTATAAATCCTGAGCTTTCTGATAATGAACTAAATCTTGTACCATGCCGAACATTCCAGGAAGATATTTTACAATAAAGTCCAGGATGTGTAGGTTATTGGATGGTTATTGAGACTATGTGGAAGACTTGACAACGTTGCTGAAGTAGGGTCATACCCGTGAAATACAAATACATTTAAAACATATTTTATTTATTTGGTGTTTTAGTGAATTCTAAGTTTCTAAGCTATAATGCACGAGAATATAATTAACTTTACATATAAGAATATTGAATATTAACTACGCGTGAAAACTGAACACGCACCATGTATATAGATATGCGTGCAAACACAACGTTGCCAAACATACCAGAAACGAGCACAGTGGAGTCGTACGACTAATCAAAATATATTTTTTATTTACAATATGATGAATTATCAATGAAAATGTTGAATTTCATAAATGTAATTTTTATACATTATTAAAATATATTAGCGGGTGTTTAATACCAATTATTAATATGATGCTTTATTGACTAGAGAGTCAGGTACGAACCACATAAACGTCCATACCGAACATTCACCATTTCAGTATAGAAGATGATTTCATCACATGGAAGGACAAGTTTTGGCCAGCAGTTTGTGACTTCTTTGGAATCGAAGGTGCAGGCGAAGATGTCAGCATCAGGCAGTACAAACTTACAGAGCACATTGATCTGCCAGTCGAACGTATCTACACTGGTGAAATAGCACGTCTTCATTCATTCAAGAATCAAAGAGCGTACGTTACTTTGATATTTTAGAAATCTGTAAACTTAACTTTCACAACACTCACAGTTAGTTTACTCATAGGCCATATGATGCAAAGAATCCATTCTTGGCACCACTTAAAGTTAATCTAGAACTTCATGGCCCAACATCAAGCAGATCCTGTATGCACATAGAGTTTGATATAGAAGGATCAAAGATGCGTTATGAAGCTGGTGATCATTTGGCAGTATATCCTGTAAATAATGCCGAATTAGTAAACAAAATTGGCGAGAAATGCGGCGTTGATTTAGATACCGTGTTTACACTTACAAACACGGATGGTAAGTTAATGTTTTCGTATAAACTCAAATTAACCTTTGCATACTGAATTTATTTTTAAATATAATGTCGTACGATGGTATATTTTCAATTTATCGTTTCTTCTATTACAGAGGAATCTACGAAGAAACATCCATTCCCTTGTCCCTGTTCTTATAGAACTGCCTTAACACATTACTTGGACATTACTAGTAATCCACGTACCCATATTCTTAAAGAATTGGCGGAATATTGCAGTGATCCACAAGACAAAGAAAAATTGAAATTAATGACATCGACCACCGCAGAGGGCAAAGCTGCTTATCAACAATGGATAGCTCAAGAGAATCGAAATATAGTGCACATTTTAGAAGATATTCCTAGTTTAAAGCCATCGTTGGATCATTTGTGCGAACTTCTGCCGAGATTGCAATGCCGTTATTATTCAATTTCTTCGTCGCCTAAGGTAAAGTAATGAAATGACGTTTAGATTTGAAATCGATGCTTTTCGTAGCGGTGACTACATTTGGAAAATATTCAATTCACACCGAAAGTCTCCTTTTTTTTTTCCTTACCTATTATTAAAGTATCACGAAGACAATTGTAATATCATGTTGATAATTTCTGTAATTTCTCCATGAACTTTTTGTTCAGCTGCACCCAACGTCTGTTCACATTACTGCAGTCGTGATAGAATATAAAACCCCGACCGGTAGAATTAATAAGGGTGTAACTACCAGCTGGTTGAAGGAGAAGCATCCGTCAGACCCACCGTGTTATGTTCCTATTTTTGTGAGGAAATCTCAGTTCCGGTTGCCAACTAGAACATCGACTCCAGTCGTTATGGTTGGACCAGGCACTGGTGTCGCGCCTTTCAGAGCATTTATTCAAGAACGTGATCTTGCTAAACGGGAAGGTAATAATGGCCACACCTGAACCTGCAGTCGTACTCATTTGTAAATGTTTAAAAGAAAGTAAAATTTACTATCTATATGGCAATTCGTTTACATTGAAAATCACTTGTTAAATGTTGTACACTTCTAATTTATTGAAATCTTTTTCTGGAAAATCTTCCTTTTTTTGTGTAAGACTTTTAACAATCGACATAACTTCCTTAAACACAATATTTTAAATACTTCCATGTACAGTTGGTCACAAAAGTATTCGAACACCCTTCAAAACAGAACTTTTTTAAAATTCGAAATGTATTTATTAAATTTTCATTACAGTCTCAAATAAAAAAGTTGTAAAAAGCAACCTTTACTATTTTCTTCGCGATTCTAACCAATTGCGACTTTTGCCAATTTTTTTTATACATCATTTAGTAAACTAATGTTCCCAACTTTACAAAAGAGTTCAAGTCACTTGGACCAATTTTGAAACAGTTATTCTGTTTTAAAGGGTCCAAGAATACTTTTGTGACGAACTGTACATAGCTCTGTCATGTATACATTTTTTTATTTTCGAACTTACAAGTAGAGAATTAACGAAACCTACAAACTCTGATAAATTAAAAAAATCTCAGAGGATTGTATAGAATGTTACATCGACCTATTATAATTTATGAAGAATTGTTTCTTTCTGTTTAGGTAAGGAAGTGGGTGACACAATTTTATACTTTGGATGTAGAAAGCAAGAGGAAGACTTTCTCTATAAAGAAGAACTCGAAGAGTACGTAAACAATGGTACTCTAATTTTGCACACTGCGTTCAGCAGAGAGCAAGATCAGAAAGTATATGTTACGCACCTGTTAGAAAAGAACAAAGAGGAATTATGGAGAGTTATTGGTGAGAAAAATGGACACATCTATGTCTGTGGGTTAGTATAACCATTCTTCGATAACATTAAATTCTCATAGCTTTCTTGGTTTTAAAATGAACATTTCTAAGAACCTGTTTTTTTTTCATTTAGTGATGCTAAAAATATGGCACGTGACGTTCATAATATCTTACTAAAAGTTGTGATGGAAAATGGAAAAATGTCGGAACTTGATGCCGCCACGTATATTAAGAAGATGGACTCCCAGAAACGTTATTCGAGTGACGTATGGAGTTGAATTTTGTTATTTATATTAATTTCACGGATATGTATAAGTATAAATTGCCTATTGAAACGTTTCGGATATGCCTTCATGAAAGGGCCTACTTATACCTTTCGTACGGATGTACGATATGCATGTAAAACATTTAAAAACGGTAAAGAGATAATTACAGACGTTAGAAACAATCATTCAAAACCTTTAATGTATTTATTGTTCGTAAATATTTAATGAATTTTGTATAAATATCAAGTTTTTCTTCTGTTCGAACACATTTTATTCTATAAATATTAACGTTTTTATGAGAATCAATACGGTGCAATAACGAATTTAAAAAGGTGACTGTAATTCATACAGTTATAAATAAAGCAATATAGTGATTCCCTAAAATGTTTATGGGAAATATTAATGGATACATTGATAAAATGATTTTGTGCTTGCACGGTGCACATGTAATAACATGTTCTATAAAAAGAACATTGGAAGATATTATTGAATAGTTTCATCAAACGCGCAGCAGAATTGTAACATTTTTTTTATCGAGATGGGGAGAAGAGCGGATAAGTTAATTAAACGGAAGAAATATTGTATTAATCGTGAAGAGCTAAGGCAAACAAATTTTATATGCTAGAAGCAATTGTATAAAAATTGTTATACATAATAAGTCTTTTACATTGTGTCTGGGATGGTAACAGAGTTGTATTGATTTATGCATATGTTACATGGTAAAAGTATACAGTAAATGTGTACACATACTGATTGCAATCCGGTAAGAATCATTAATAAATATATAATGCATAAAATTTCGTAGAGAATAAATTTTTATTTTATTCAAAATATACATATAATGAATAACAACTAAGTTATACAATAATGATTATGTTATGACGTAACAGTAAAGAAAGAACTTTATTAAAATGAATGATGAGATATTAAAGGTGAATTACTTCATTGATCTAATTCCACAAACCGTCATTTGAATTGATTAACATCGAAGAAATTGTAATAATACACAAGTAGTTTTTAACAACGATTAATTGTTGTTTACCTTTAATCCCATCAATTTCTAATAAAGCATCTTATTGTCAATATCTAATCGTGTTATGAAACTATTATATGATAATAAAATATACAATTTTTTAAATATAATTTCACTAAATATAGAACATAATGTGTGATCTTAGTAGTAAAAGTATCATTACTTTGGTACGTGTACACTTTTACTAGTAAAATTGTTATGTTTGTTAAATTTGGTACGAAGAAACATTCAACAAATGTACTTCTCAAATTAGAATGTCAGGTAATATTGTTAATATTCTAATAAATAATTATTATTTTTAAATATTTCAGCATTTTTATATTTGAGAAAATCAGAATAGCCCTCCGGTCGTGCGTAACTAGAACACATTATGTTTCAACCATTCGAACTCTAAAATAACCTAAAAAATTTAACATTGATCTTGATATAATAGTTATACATTCAAAGTGAAACTTTATAAACATCAATATTATTTGTATTTAATAAAAATTGAACGCTAACATAATTACTCGATATAACATTTGTGTTAGTTTATATTAAGTACTTTTCAGTCGTTAGTAAATCGACGAAGAAAAATCTATCAGTGATTCTCTAGTTTCCTAATATTCGATTTTGTGCAAGTAAGGCCTATATCGGGAATTATTAAACCTTCACTAGGTTCCTGTAAAATTCCCGAAACGTTTGAGCTACTGGTGTTTGTTGTTTCACTGTTGGAATTTGAATTTTGCAATTTCGAATGTAACGGTGTGGATGTTCTTCCTTTAAGGAGCACAGCTTTCTCCGTACTTTTACTGGCTTCTTTCACAGATATCGAAGACACATCACTGAAGTCTGGTAAGCCGTAATTATTATCGAATTGCTTTTTAACAGGTGATATTCTTTTGCCAGTGGTCACCGGCGTTCGGTCATCAGAGTTCGACGACGAGCTAAGCGCACTCGCCTCCCGTGTTTTCTTTAATGTCGTTATCGCCCAACCCAAGCCAAGCTTCTTAAGGGCCATTTCCATTTCTTCGGGAGACGATGCGTGTCTTAATATATCAGACGACGGTGTGCTTGCTATTTGCGAAATTCCAGACAATTCGGAAAAGCTATTCGAACTTGTCGAGGTTATCCTCTCCTTAATATTTTTATTCTCTTCGTTTGCATTAACAGAAGATAAAGGCAGTAAGTCTTCTTTTGGCGACAGTTCTTTATTGTCTGTACCGCATTGCAATTTCTTATTTATTGTCTGTCTAGCGTCCATTCGAGAAAAAACACCTTTGGACACCTTTGGCGCGTCGAATTGGGCTGGAGTCTCCACTGTTCTATGTGATGCAACCATTGACGACAGCTTCGATGTGGATGGATCGTAAGACTTTGTGAATTGTTGTTGATTATGCGTGTTCACAGAAGCAACCAAGCGTTCTGGTGATTCGACTACAATGGCAGTTTTAGTCTTTTGGGACTGTGAAACTTTTTTGATCGACAATGGACTTTTAACGATATTCTGACTCTTATTCACGGTGTCCAGTGTATCGAATTCAATTATTGTTGATAATTCATGGCCCGATGACTCGATATCAGTCCTGAAATACAAATTTTGTACGAAATAGTACATCACGCGCAATAGAAACGGAAGTATCTTTTCTTACCTGTACAGTCCACTAAGCAAGCTTACTGGCGGTTTGGTTCTTCCGTTGGCGAATATAGCGTTCTCCATTGTCCTTGATACTTTTGGGATGTCCGCAAGCAACGGAATAAAATCTTTAGTTCCTTTCATCTAAAAATAAAAATAAAATATTAAATACCCATTAGAAGATAAAATATTGTGCTCACAGTTAAATTAATAGTCTTATCAATAACACTGTCCAACAAATTTTAACCTTAGTCCTATTTCGCAATATCCACTGGGCGATCCTTGTAGAGTTTCTTGTCCTACACGCGAATCCGCAAACAGAATTTCTCTATCACCCTTCGTTTTTGAACAACACGAATTTTTGTAAAATAGACGATTTTGGGAAAAAATGGAGTATTACGTGAAAACTAAAAACGTTAGAAAGTTCAGTTTAGTCTTAGAAGGTAGAGAAGAGGTTCCTGGTTATATTAGTGTCTATAATTATTCAGTTTTGTAATTTTGAATAGTTATAAATAGACTCTTTTTAAATTTTGACGTCTATAACTATTCAAAATTACAAAATTTAATAATTATATACACTAATACAACCAGGAACTTTTCATCTACCTTTTAAGGCTAAACTGAACTTTTTAGCGTATTTAGTTTTCACGTAATACTCCATTTTTTCCTGAAATCGTTCATTTTCACAAAAATTCGTGTTTTTCAAAAACTGAGGGTGATAGGGCAATTCTGTTTGCGGATTCGAGTTTAGAACGAGAACCTCTACAAGGATCACCAAGTGGATATTGCAAAACTAAGGTTAAAATTTGTTGGCCAGTGTAATCTAAAGTTACCTCCGCAGCAAAATGTTTTTGCACAGCTGTATCAGTCTTTGGTTTGCTGGTAGGAACGTTCTTAGAATCAACGACGTCTGTCTGATGCGTTTGGTCCGTTGTTGAACTGATGGATCCTTTAGTCGCTAGTAAATTATTTTTAAGACTCTTGCTCTGTTCCAAAATTTCCTGCGATAATCTTTCTATAATCTCTTCGTCTTGCATCGTCGAATATCGTAAATTACGGCCTGGGCTTGTTGTTTCCAACGTTTTTGGTCTAGACTGTACCTTGTAGCCATCAAGCTGTATATTTACTATTTCGTCTCTTATTATTCTCGGCTTGGCTACGGTTCTCTGTACTTCTACATTCGCTTCTACGATTTGAGTCGCAACATTCTGTGCATTTCCATTCGTTTGTATTTCAGCATCTACTTCTTTCAGCTGATCAGACTCTTGTTTAGCAATCGCTGTATTCTGGACAATCCTTTGCGATTCAATAAGCGTTTTCGCTAGCTGGTTATGAATTGCTTCTATATTTTCAACAAGATCCCGAACACTTTGTAGATCGTTCGTCGTTACTTTCGGCGGAGGTAGTTGCATTAAACTGGTTTCGTCGTCACCGCTGATCGCCGAGAATTCTACGCCTGAAAAGAATGGCGAAATTAGTCATTTTTTCATGGCCCTTTGTATATGGTAAACCAACCAGTTGAATGACCATTAGGCAAGAAATGTAAATTATAAATTTAAAAATTATTAAATGTTTATAAGTGGAGCGTTGTTGCACTTTTAATATCTCATATTTTCAATTTAGTGTGTTAAGCAAACATTAATAAGTATAATTCTTATTAAAAATATTTCAGAAATGGACCAATCATTTACAGGGCTTTTACACGTTTTACACTTTATAAATAATTTCATTAAAATCACGATAAGAATAAGTGATTATTTTTATAAAAATTTCAAGATTAATGTATGTAATTGCAATTTCAACACCTGTTTTGTTGTTATAAATAAACACATTCAAGTATTAATCCAAAACGTCCACAAATGCAATAATTCAGTCATTCACTGGTTGGTTTACCCTATGTCACGATATTAACCCCTTGCCCTATGATTTTCTTGATGTCTGAAGTTTACAAAATTACTTTATCATCAATAAGTCCCCAGAAGCAAAAGGAATTCGTGTACTTATCGCAATTGTACATTTACTCTAAAAGTTAAATATCAATATCAGCAAACTAGTATTTCAGTTTGACTCAAAGAAAACGAATAATATTTCTGTTTGTTCAATCCATTTTTATATTGTCACCACGAGTCTTACTCGATGTTATAAGGCAAGGGGTTAACAGTTCAAAACTATGATTTGTACCTTTTTGTTCGTTTCGAACCTTCTCAATAAGATTCGTCAAGGACACAATTCTTTCTGTGCACAAACACTGAAGATCTTCGTACTTCTGCAATATCTCAGGGCAGTTCTTCAACGTATAACTGCAGATATTATCAAATTTCGCGTGCATCAGCTTGCTTTCGGGATTCTTGCATGTGCAGACTTCCGGTGATGAAGTTGCCTGCTTAAAAGATTTGCTAATTTGCTCGGATAACAGTCGCCTCTGTTGATAACCGGATGAATCTGTTGTCGACGAATGATCATTTTTGGAAGACGACAACGGGCTACTGCAATTCACTTGGGTATCTGTGGACGTGTATCGAAGCATTCTACTAATTTTACTAGGGTGAGGTATGTTCGATGGCATTCTCATAGTACGGGGCGAAGGAGTCTCCGGCGTCGACACTGGACTGACATTTCTTCGTAACAATTTCACGCTCTCGTTCGCCGAAGAATCCAACATTTCGAGAATAGAAATATTATTGTTCAAAACTTCCAGAATGTTTCGGGGTTTGGTTGGCGGCGGACTGGCGAACGACGTCGAAGTGTCCGAGACTTCCTTCATTTTGATTCGCGTCGACTGCGACTTCACAGTGTACAATTTTGTTGTAGATTGTTCTTGAACGCCCGCAGAAAATATCTGGGAACTTTGCGTGCTCGCATCCACGGCTATTTCCGGAGTCTGCGGTGGATTCACTTCAATATTGAATCCAGTCTTGTTGATGTATATTTTGATTCTCTTATTGGGCGTATCTACAGAAGCGCAGCTGGGCTTTCTTAGGCCGTTGAAACGCGATCTCGATAAAGTTTTCGAAAGTTTCTTCGCAGAAGATGGTGTTTTGCTGACACCAACCAACGGCGACTTGTGCTTTCTAGGTGTCTTTTTACGCTTAGGTTTCTTAGGGGTTGTTTTCGAATACCGACTGCCGGTATCGTGAACGGTGTTTGTGACCACAGAACTAGCCGACACGCTGCTATCCGCTTCCGGAGTAACAATTGTGATTTTTGGTTCGATTGGATAATGTTTGGCAGTCTTATCGACTTCATCATTAGTGTCCTTAACATCACCTTTTTCTTGTAACATTTCCACCTGAATGCTTTTATCTTGAGGCAGATCGTGTGTATCTTCTGTGGCAGTCTGTACAGCAGTTTCTACTTTATCGACAGTCGAGCTTCCCGTTTTCTCTGTCTGATCCTTACGGCTGCTTTCGGAACAGCATGATGCATTTATAACCTTTATTTCCGGTGACAAAGGTGCTTGTCGACTGCGTGCATCGTGACAGACGGTTGACGGTGCTGGAACCGATTGGTCCCTCTCGAACAAAGGCTTCATAGTCGCGTTAAAAATATCATTCGGTAAATCTGCACCAAATTCCTTCAATAAAAGCTGTTTTTGCTTCTCAACTTTCTTCAACATATCTAAGATTTGCTCCTCCCGTGAAATCTCGTTCTCCTTGCCTTTACTTTGCGCAGTTCTGCTTTGCTCGTTGGAGAACGGATCCTCCCAAACAGCGCGTACATCGTCGCTTTCGGAATTTTCTCTGGGCGCAAGAGTGATCTGTCTTTCGACCGGATACGAGGGGCACTGTTCGAAGCATTCTTCGTTCAATAGAGCTTGCATAGCACGATTTAGGTTCTTTTTATGCTGATCCCTTAATACCCTTCTCCGTTCCTCCAATACGTGCGCGTCTTTCTAATGGTAGATAAATATACTGCGATTAACGAAACATTAATAACACTGTTCAACACGTAGAAAATTTGCAACTTTCAATAGGCAGTTCCGGTAGATCTTTCTGAGCTGAATACGAATCTGCAAACCGTTTCTTCCCAACACGCTCAGTTTTTGAAAAAATCAATTTTTAAGAAAATTTCAAATTTTCAACTTTTGGAACTGTGTTATGCTTTTATAGTAATAGTTATCCCGTTTCGTTTGACGCGAAATAATTCTCTGGGCTCTAAAATGATGTTCAAAGTGAAAAGGACACTGTTTCAAGTGAAAGGCAACTAAGGGTCTAAGAGAAAGTCTAGTGTCAATGAAAGTTATAAAATCAGTTTTGTTTTTGTTGCAAAGTTGAAAATTTGCAATGTAAAAAAATTGATTTTTTCAAAAACTGTACGTGCTGAAACGAAACGGTTTGCAGATTCATATGAAGCTTGTAAAGATCTCTCAAGCCTATTGGCGGTTACAAATATGAAAAAAAAAAATAAAAATTTGTTGAACAGTGTAATTAGACTGCAGATTTTATGCATTTCTAGCCAAACTTTCATCAGATTCAATGAGTTTTCCAGTTTATTCTGAACCCAATATGATACTTAAGAAAAGAAAGGAATTCTTACATGCGCACTTCTCTGTATGAATTGCTTTACAAAATATTATCTTGCATAAAAATCCGCAGTCTATTGATAAAAAAATTACAGTGGCCTCTAACTATATTGCCATGATCGGGGCTGCAGGAGAGTAAAATGGAAATGAGTTGAGTGCCCCCTTTATGCATCCTGCAAAAGGTAGATTGTGTTGGTGTGCGCGAAAGTACTGTCGGTGAAAGAGCTTTCGTGGAACGGGACCCCCGACTGATTTTACAACTAGGCACTTTGTGGGTGACCGAAGGTCCATTGATGAAACCGCAGCCAGGGCCGTGCGTATTTTACAGAAGTATATTTACTTTACATCTCAGGCTCCTGTCATCTCTTGCTCAGTAATATGTAATTTACGTGTTAATAAAGGGTAACATATAGATGTCAAAGATTAGAAAATATATAAACTTCTTCCGTGAATGTTGCAAGTTAAACATTCGTTTACGACGAATATGTATTTGCACGAATATAATAGCAACTATAGAATAGCAAATTAGTTTCTTTCAATCTTGAAAGGTAGATGACGTGTAATAAAACCGATAAATTACTTGTTTACTCCAATGATATATTTTCATTATTTTTTATGTGTTCATGCAGAAAAACAAAACATCGAGGAGGAAAAATTTGTTTTTAATAATCTGTCGACACATATATATATATAATTTTGTATAATGTGTGCGTATTCTGTGAAAAACAGAAATGATGTATTTGTATAACTTATTTTCCAAATTGTATGCTGTACCAAAATTTTGTTAAATATACCAAAAAGGAAGAAACAGTTCCGTGTTGACATCCCACGGCCCTGAACGGAGTTCGAGTATCATAAAAGTCTCACATTACGGGTTTTATGGCCAAACCTAGTGCCTAGTGCCTAGTTGTAAATCAGTCGGGGGTCCTGCTCCACGAAAGCACTTTCACCGACTATACTCGATCATCGGGGGCCTATTGTGTCCCACCGCACTCAGTGTCGTAGGTCACTTTCAGCTACGGGGTTCCAAGGACTAAAACGAAAAAGACTGGAATATTTGAAAGAAATTTACGTCTTTGTGAACTTCCATCAAGAATAAAAAGGCCAGAAGTATTTTAAATCTGAAGTTAGTACGCTGTAAGAATTTGTTTAATTACATTAACACGGAAAAACCGATCCCAAATTGACGTCATACGCCTCTGAACAATGGTCGAGCAGAATTTTTACAACTCAAGGGTATCAAGTGACAGGATTAAGCTACCGAAACACATAAACTTTAGGGTCGGTCAAGTTTATGGCTAACGCTATATCTTTGAAGCAGGCAATATGTTTAGTGGCAATATAGTTAGAGTCCACTGTAAGAGAAAATAATGCTAGAGTAGAATATGTACCGTATAACGTTTAACTTGATTGGCTTTTAGTTTACGTTCTTCGCTCGCGAAGTAATGTAAATTCTCTACAAGCGTTTGGTAATCCCGTCGCACTTTTTCACGCAATACCGCGTCTTCGCCACGCTTCTGAGCCGTTGCTTTACGGCTTTCTGTCAGATGCGACTCGATCGCTTCAGACTTTGCTATCTCTTGGGCTAAGTCTATTGCACTTGGCTGGAAAATGTAAAGTATGAGTATTCGGAAACATTGTTGCTTAGAACGAGTTTCCTTAAATTCGTTAATAATTTGTCTAAATTATTAGATTCAGAATCTAGACACAAAGTCTGCTATTTTAGAACGAGTTATCTATCATTGGAATATGAAGTATCTCTAATAACTGCAGGAAACAGCAGTACAAAGACACAGTTTAAAGAGATGAATTTTTAAAATTAAAATAAATATTACAAATATAATTAAACAATTCCCATATCAGACATTAATTAAGTGTGTCTATTACTATTAGTAGTTACTATTCTTCGTTTGTAATTACGAACCTCTGTCCATGCATGTATTTTTTCAACTACACCGACTGGTTTACTATATACATTCCTTTGATGCGTACTATGATCGTATAATTGTACTTTATCTTTTGCCGGAGAATGAACACTTTGTTTTGGTGTTCTTGTACACTTTGATTGTTCACCAGTAGCGGGCAGATCCGAAGAATCGTCGCTCAGTGAACTAGTACTGTCGCTCTGACTGCCACAGGATGAGTTTGAATTCAATTGAACATAATCCTGTGGATTATACCTGTAATATTAATGTACAATATAAATTTTTTATAATAAATAATAATAAAACTTTTATTATAAATAAAAGAGCTGTTTCAGATATTGTTTTGTATTAAAATTAACGTTATAAAAAATACCTCAATGTTTTATCAACTTCTGCCTGTGTAGCTTTTGGAATCGACGTTACTTTTCCCGAATTTTTCTCATTCTGTTCAGACCTAAGTACAGTTTCTTCTGTGTTTACTGTAGTAGCTGTGCTTTTTAATGCCGCAAGTTCTATGCCCGATGTGACAGCAGATTGTTCTTGCGAATTTGAATGATCTTTCTTCCGACCAGACTTCATTGTTCGTGGTTTCGATTTTAAACGAGGCGAACATGTTTTTAGATCACTAGCAACAACCTGAAATAAATTTACCCACGTATAACTTTCGGCGTAAATAGGACGTTCTGAAATTGATAGTCCAACTTTTAGAATCACCGCAAATAAAATTGTGTTAACAAATGTAAGACTAAGTGTGAAGAAATTGTTATTATAAAGTGTTAAAATATCTTCTTAATTAGCGGGTTTTCGTTGATGCAACAGATAAAGAACTGCATTGTTTGCTAGACCATAGAGTACATGAAACTATAGCACACTGCATAATAATGTATTATGTATTTGTATATTTTGCAATCGTATCTTAAATCGTAAACTATGTTTACTAACATAAGTTGTTTTATTTCAATAAGCACTACAAGTATTAAAAGTTCGAACCATCAATTTTAAAAGGTCGTTTTCTGTTAGTTTTATATACAACTAATGTACCCTTATGTACGATTTTGTAATCTTCCCAGGTGATTTTCTAAAGAACTGTTTCCTTCCTTTTTTCTTGGCAGATTTTTGTTGCTTATTCCTTTCATCAACTTCCTCCTGTATAATATCTGTTTCCAGCACTGTCGCTTGAGGCAGATTCGCTACCAAAGTTGACCTAAGATTCTCCAATTCTCTTACTTGCCGCAACCGTTCTTGATGCTGCTGCTGTTGCATAGTTTCTTTCTACATGGATTTAACTTACTCTTTTATAAATTTTAATCTATTGTAACACATTAGAGTTTACAATCTAGAAAAGCATGTAAATGGAATGTCTTACTTGTTGATTCTCATGAACCTTACTCATAGCTTTTTTCCCTCGTTTAGATGCTGTTAATTTGTTTGTCCTTTCTTTTTCTTGCAGCACTGCATTATGATCAGGTTCTAACAATGCGGATACATGCGCCATACCAATATCTGCCATGTCTTCTTGGTATTTGTGTTGAATTTCCATGATTTTCGCATTATATGATTGCCTTAAATTTAGTTTATCATTGTTCTCGAGTTTCTTTAGTTCCTGCTTAGTTATGTTCTTAACACGTTCCAAAAGTCTATCCGATATTTCTTTTGACTGCTGCCGTACCTATATCAGTTTCTCGTTTAATTTTCAATGTTTGTGATATAGTTTCACTGTTGTTGTTACAGTTAAATAAAGTAATTATCGTTTAATATTAATTAAAACATGAACTTTATTTTAGTGTTATTATATATCTAATGAATGCTTATTGCTATAGTTTTTGTGCAATTAAAGAATTTTATGGACTAATTTACAAAAACTAGAATCTATTAGGAATTCTTTTTAATCAGAGTTTTATTAGACTTTGAACTACACTAAATTCCAGTATGTCTACTGTGAAAACATAAAATCCACAGACTATTTATTAATTATTATATACTTCTATAAACATTACTCACTTCTATTACTTTCAAATTTTTAAATAATTTATTGTATGCATGTATACCTGCTCCAAGCGTAACCTTCGACGTCGGTCACGTTCATTTTTCTTAATTTGGTCTAAATCAGACAACACCATTCTTCCCCGTCTTATGCTTAAAGGATTTCCGTTGACGGTAACGTTAATAGACATATTTTTTTAAAGCACGATCACCTTCCATTCAAAGAAACTTAAAACGCAACACGTCTTCGTTACTCAAATTTAAACTTCTGAGAACGGCCATTCTCGTATTCGTCCAATCCAGCCCAATCGACGGATTATTATTGTCAGTGGTTGTAAATGCAACAGCAATAGTGCCATTAATCTGTACCATGAACTGCCACTGATCCGTATCATGAACATATACAGGGTGTCCCAAAATAGCTTCGACCCGCGGAAATGAGGGTTCCTGGGATGATTGGAAACAACTTTGTCCTTAGCAAAAATGTTATCCGAAGCTTTGTTAACGAGATATTAACGAAAAACCCCGACCATTCAGAGCGCGAGTCTGTTGGCCGAGTTCCCGGGGTAGTATTGGTTACCAATCGCAACGCGTAGTTTCGACCTGCAGACTCGCGCTCTGATTGGTCGGGGTTTTTCGTAAATATCTCGTTAACAAAGCCTCGGATAACATTTTTGCTAAGGACAAAGTTGTTTCAAATTATCCCAAGAACCCCTCATTTCCGGGAGTCGAAGCTCTTTTGGGACACCCTGTATATGTCTATGAGTGTACTATCTCTAATAATCTCCAACCACAACGATGGCGCTGCTAACCGATCATACAGCAATAAAAAGTGAGTTTGGACAATTATTTTGACCGTCGGTGTAACCGGTGTAACAAGCGATTACTTTCGGCATCGTATTACAAATACCACGAATACTATTGTCAATAGGTAATTCTTAATTGGAGAATTAGAATTTCAGAAATGCCCATGGTAACGTCTAAATGTCGTTACTTTATGTTTTTATCAATTTGACAGATGACATACAGTACTGTGGAAGCGTAGTGTCAATAATGGCTGCCGTACATCGGGAAGATATCCAAAAGCAAATTCAACAAGATTGGGCAAATCGAGAATATATTGAAGTCATAACCGGTAGCATAAAAAAGATAACCGATTTCCTTAATTCCTTTGGTAATTTGTCTAAATTATTAAATACAGAATCTAGACACAAAGTCTGCTATTTTCTAGTTTGTTATTCTGTAGAAGAAGAAGCTTTTCCTGTTTATCTTATAATTCGAGTACGTTCCAGATATTATTATTTGATTAAATATTTGAACGAAACATTAACTTTTCACTGGTCAAATAAACATAATAAAAAATATAAATGATATATCACTTTTTTCAAATAAACATAATCCTTAACATTAAACCGTATGTTTGATGTAACGTCACTGCAGTATTATAAAAACTGTTCATAGGACAGACAAAAATTTTATTCTAACTAAAAGAATTAGCAGAATTTGATTCGAGATGCGTTAAAGGATATGAAGATAATAAAATACGCAAAACTGATTAATGCAGACTTTCTTTTTAGATATGTCCTGCAGATCAAGAATAGCTGTTCTTAATGAAAAGCTTACTACTCTTGAAAGAAGAATCGAATATCTTGAAGCATGTGTGAGTTACCATTCAAATATAAATTTAATTGCCTATAAATTGAATATGCGTTTATAATTTGATTATGTATTAATACTTCTGCAGGTCACAAAAGGAGAAACGTTAACTTAATTTATATGCCAATAATACAACTATTTTTAGGACTTAAGGTTTTGTATTTAAAACATTACGATAAATAAATATACATTAAGGACAATAATTATGTATTTCATGATTTAATTATAAGTTCTACAATTTAGATAACTTTAATAACATTATTATGAAAATGCTATGTAGCCACACTTTTCTTTTAATGGTCACAGGATCTATGATGTTGATGAAGTTTTCCTGGTGACCAGTCCAAAGTATCCATATTATCATCTATTCCATTTCTGAATTCCTTGTTAATGACGGCACAGAACACTGCTATTACTGCAATGTTCAAACTCAGGGGAAAAGGAATGTGAAACCACCTCTGGAGTATTGGCAGAATAGATAAAGCTGTAAAAGAGAAAATATTATTTCAGAACAATAATTTTGACTTTCATTTAAAATGTACTTAGAAGAAAAGAAAACGAAACTTTTCTTTTAACACGTTCACTACCACAGTAAAAAAGGCTGTACGTAGCCATACACACTTTATTTCGTTTTTTAAGTCGTAAATCTTTGAAAATATATGCATTTGATTAATAGAGATTGCTTGTCGTGTTTTAAATTATACTGTGATATTAATCTTATGTCAAAATTGTGTAGGGATGTTTAAATAATCCAGCATGTTTGCAATGTTTCAACTACGAGTTATCTCGTAGCTGGCAGTCAACGTGTTAACAAATATAAGTTGCCTTATTTATAGTTAGAATTAACCATAAGAAATAGAATACTTATACACTACTGTTGGATTTGAAAATTGAAAAAAATATAAAATGCAAATGTAAGGACAATAAAACAGATATTAGAAAACTTGTTTTAACATTTGTCTGACATCAAACACAATTTTTTCTATAATTTAAATCATATTTCTTTCACAACACCTAACAGTCTATATAAAAGGAATATTTACATACCACCCATGGCATGGTTGATTGAATCATCTTTCCCTCTTAAACGTGTAGACATGTATACAATAGAAGGAAAAATGGTACCTACAACTGCTGATGGAACCATCCAGAATGCTACACGTTGTCCAGCATGTGCAAATGTTTTGCAATTAGAACGTAGAAGTACATCGTGTACACTCGCTAGCATACTCAATTTTATACATGGATACAAGCAAGCCTGAATTTTTCCAAGCGGATCTTCCCCATCAGGTTTAGCAAAATACTGCGGCATGTTTACAAGATCTAAAACAGAAAAACTGGTTTTGCTTTTAATACTTTCTCAATTGTTTTCATAAAAGCAACAAGTAATGATTTAAACAAGTTTCCTCATTGAGAAATTACACTTCTGTGTAAGAACACCTTGTGAATACACTAAGTATTCAGTTTGTATATACGGATTTTAATATGATTCTAAATTAAACAATATAATGACAGTACAAATACAAATTTCAATAAACAATAAAACGAGAGCATACACACCATATGAATATAACCCACAAGATACTAAAACCAGATAATTTAATATTTTTTTAAACTGTTACGTTTCAAGGTAGTTCGTCATTACATAACATAGACCAATCCTACCGTAGATTTGTAACCCTATTGTGTGAATTAACGTGTTTGGTTATCTTCTTACAGATTCATTAAATAATATGAGAAACTGATTTAATTAGTAATAAAAGTACATTTTTTATTATTGGTTGCAAGCAGACAATAATAATATCACTAGAAGAATATAAATATGAATAATATGTAACTTCAAATTACGTCGCCGCAGGCTCCGCTGCTGTTTCCTGGTTCCGCTGCTATTCCGTTGCTGGATTTCGTGATTGCTTCTGTGCTATTTTTTCTGCAAGTTTTCTGACAACCTCGCTCGAATGGCCAACAGAGATGGCCGCTTTATAAGTAGTGGGTGGTCTGTTTCAACAGGTCTCTACAGAAAGTAACTACCCAGATAGCACATGATACCTTGAAGACGGCTTAAAGGCGTCTTAAACCTATAATAGCCGTAAAATGGGCGTCTTTAAGGCATCATGTGCTATCTAGGTACATACTGTTTTTTAATCTTCGGCTATAATAGTATCTGCAGAAACTGACATTATTGCTGCAATTATTATGCAATGTGTTCAAGGAAGAACGGATAAGCGTTATCAGTCAGCATCAATCCGAATTTGACAGTTGTACAAGCAACGACAATAAAGGATCAAGTTTCAAGCGCATTGTCGACTCAAATCATTTCACTATTGTTTACTCTTTTGTCACCCATATGTATTTAATTACAATAGATTGGATCTGATAGAGGAACCTGCAATTCAGTACTCACATTTCAATTTGAGATTCACATGAAAATTTCGGCGATAAACTTATGAAGCTTTGATGATCGTACGGAAGATGTACAAGTTACAGAAGAGGAATAATTATTTGTATTGAATAAATTAGAATATTTTATAAGTCTGAATAATATTTAAGTCTTGTTTTACTGAATTCATGCACATGCTATCACTACAACTATCTCATATTTGCCATAAATAAATAAATAGTAATTGATAAACTTAGTTAAAATAAATTTGAAGTTCAATTCAGCGCGAAAATTGAATTTGAAAAAGCGCGGGAATATTGCAAAATCGAGAATTTTCTAAAATTATGGTAGCCACCTGGTGGTAGAGATTGGAATTAAATCCAGAACTTCTTAATCTAGTCCTCCAAGTCGCCACCAGATGGCTACTCATGGCAGGTTGACCAGTTTCTTGCACTCTTTCTAAAAGTTCTAGAATTAGTTCCAAATTCCGCCATCAGGTGGCTACCATCATTTTAGCTATTTCTGGATTTCGCCAGTTTTCGCGCACTTTTTTAAACATTTTAAGAATGTATTATCACCGACTAGGTATAGAATAGACCTATCATCTTATAGGACTTCGTGTCTCATGTTCTGAAATACCGATAATGTAAAAAGTCAGAGATTTTCTGCTGCCCTCTACGTTATGAGAACGGTGAATTTGTGAACTACGTGAATCTAAGAAGGGACCATGGTCGTGAACGGATTCTCTTCCGTCCGCTCGCTATAAAGTAGACGTATTAGAAAGGAGTCTTGGGTTCGTATCCCGACGGACCTATATTAGTTTTTCTTCGCGTACAAAAAAGTTATTGCGTTTAATATTGTTTTTATGAATATGTATATGTATTATTATGTACATTTGAGTAAATTATTTTATTATTCCATTGTTACTACATCAGTTTAACAGTGACAACGAACGCATGCATATTTTCAAATATCGGACTAATAGTATATTTTTATTCTATATTATTACATATAAGTGAGTAATACGTATCAAAAACGTAATCGAAACACAGATTTTTATTTAGACCACAAACATCGCATAAAAGATATTTCGTTATATTCACATTTGTAATAATTATGGATGTTGCGGGGAAATCTATTGACATTATGGAACATGTAACGAAATATCACTGTAACACTTAAAAAAGTTTTAAAGTTCCATTTATATCATTGTCCTGTGAAAATGTTCATACTTCCAGCAGCATTCATATTCCAATCAAAGAATTTACAGAATAAGGAAAAGGAATCTAAAGTAATTTTCAGTAATTCCATACATCTTTATCTCGAATAATTTTCTAAAGCGTTCAAAGAACTAGAAATTTTTACACTTTGAATCTCATATCGATTTTCAAAATAATCCTAGTTCGATGTAATATAGAACGTGGTTTTATGAGATAGATTCGAAGTTCCCAGCCATTAGCTCGATATTGTCATCAGTTTACAGTACTTCACCGATGATAATACCGATTGCCCAGGCCTCACCACGAGGAGGTTACTGCGAGTGGAGGCCCAAGGCAGGTAGATGGAATCACAAGTTCTACATCTTCCCACCTTTCACAA